CCACCTCCTCCTCCATGAACCACCCTCCTCCTCCATGAACCCTACCCCTCCTCCTCCATGAACCTACCTCCTCCTCCCTCCACCTCCTCCTCCTCCATGAACCTACCCCCCTCCTCCTCCATGAACCTACCCCCCTCCTCCATCCACCTCCTCCATGAAACCCTCCCTCCTCCTCCATGAACCTACCCCCCTCCTCCTCCATGGTTTCTGGTACGGAAGACACGAGGCCCTGCCCTCTAAGTACGTCAACACACACCACCAATAGCCATCTCAAGCTAATAGCGTTAATGTGAGTGTCGCGTGAGGGAGGCAGAGCTGGAATAGGTGGGTGATGGAGGGAAGGGGGAGTGGGGAACCTGGGGATGGGGTAAGTGGGGAGGCGAAGGGAAATAATAATAATAATAAAAAGTATAAATTCTCCCTGTGTCCGGGTCACCAATAAGACCTGGTTATATTAAATTGATGTGACTTAAATGTGCAGTGGTAAGGCCGCCTGGAGGCTCGTGGTGTCAATGCCGGGAAATTGGAGTCTAACACACACACACACACACACACACACACACACACACACACACACACACTGAACGAGGAGAGAGAGAGAGAGAGAGAGAGAGAGAGAGAGAGAGGCAGGAGTCGGAGAAGAGGTGAGAGAGGGGGGGAAGAAGGTGGAGGGAGCAGAGTGAGGGGCGGGGAGAAGCATCATTAAGGGAGGACATTTGAGGGGTTATCTTGAAACGCCAGGCGAGCGGGTGCCGGCTGTCACTGATGCTCCCCCCTCCCTCCTTCCTTCCCTCCCTACTGCCCTCCAGCCGTCCTTCCCTCCACGCCCTCCTGCCGACCGTCTCTCCATCCCTCCTGCTGTATGGGAGCGCCGCCATTGGAAACAGAAGGCCGTCGAACGTTCGTCTGACGTAAGTGTATCTCTCTATAATCAGAGTATGTCACTATGGGACATAATATAACCTAACCAAATCTAACCTGTTCTCACCACTCAAATGTAACCTAACCAAGAAACACTCAGAAACATCCAGCTGGGTTATACCTGCACTCATACAGCGGCTTGACTCAAGGCTTCAACAGCGTCTTCCGAGATTACTAGACCGCTGAGAACACAGGTCACCACCATACTACCATGAGAGGCTCCCTGGCCCCTACACTACCAGACAACACCATGTTCTACCATAAGCCAACATCTTCTACCACTGTAAGACTTTCGGTACAGCAGAAAATCCTATAATGCTCGGCCACCATGACGAATATAGTGAATATAATATGGTGTAATGTTTCTGGTCTTATTGACACCATATATACAGTGTTAATATAGATGTTAATGATGTCTAAAGGTGGAGATAATGAAGAGGAACACAATTACGATTCGCAACAGTTGTGAGGAAGTTATGTCAACCTGGATATAGGACAGTAGAGGAGGGGCGTGGTAGTGGTGGGGAGGAGAGGCGTGGTAGGGTGGGGCAGGATAAGGTGGGATGGGGCAGAATGATGAAGGAAGCGGGTGGAAGGAGTGGAGGGGAAGGTCGTGCCGTGAATGAAGCTTCATAACCAATCAATACAGAGCAGCCGCCCCCCTCCCCCTCCACTTCACCCTCCTCCTCTGCTCCCCACTCACCTGTAACCAAGACATTACACACTAATAACATTAACAAGCCCATCAGACCAGCGATCAAATCACCCCATGTGCTCTCTTCTCCTCATCCTCACTACCCACCCCACCCATTCATCACCAGTGTCACCTATGGCCACACAATAACACCCACAGCTTAACACTTTCACCCCGAGCGAGAAACTGGGGAGAAAAAATAAACTTGGGATTTGTTTTAGATTAATTCAAGACTGTTTAATGATCCAACTATTACGTGCAATTTAAATACGAGAAAAAATCATCTGAAGTGTTCTTAGAGTGAGTGAGTGTGTGTGTGTGTGTGTGTGTGTGTGTGGATTACTGAAGACGTATCCTGTGAATAAAAGTGTCTCTATACCCCATTGAGATACCCACACCATCACGCACCATACCCACACACACCCACATACCACGGACCATACCCACACCACCACCACGGACCATACCCACCCACCCACACCACCAAGGACAGTACCCACACACACACCACCCATCCCATTCATCACAAACGCTATGATATCCAACCACAATTTCTTCCCCAGTCGTTAGCTACCACCACACAACCACAGTCACGCACCGGCGCTCACTTAACCACAATTCATAGACACATTAACACCACCACCACATTGACCCCCAACCACACAACGCCACCCATTGACCAACACCGACACCAAATTCAATCAGGCATAACTTACCACCATTAACCCAACCATAACTTACTACCATTACTTTAAAACCGTAACTCTATTAATCTGGCCAACCCATCCCAACCATTCCACCATCCCCCTTCCTTCTCTTCCTCTATTACACCAAAGATATAAATGTCACAACCGTAACCTAACCTATACTCAGCTTCTTAAGTCTGCGGTGTGAGGATGGCAGTGTGAGGTGGACGAGGATAGGGATGGTGGATAGCGTGACTAGAGAGAATAGAACAGTGTGGCTAGGCTTGAGAGACGATGGATGGAGTGACAAAACCACAATGGATGGAGAGTCGAATAGCGTGAGTGGAAAGGATAAACTGGTGAGTCTCTTCTTGTCGGCTGGTGTGTATGACTGGTCCAGACTGTGTATATGACTGGTCCAGATTGTGTGTATGACTGGTCCAGATTGTGTGTATGACTGGTCCAGATTGTGTGTATGACTGGTCCAGATTGTGTGTATGACTGGTCCAGATTGTGTATATGACTGGTGAGGATGGAGAGGGTGAATTGGATGGTGTGACTGGGTTGAAATGATATACATAACCATAAACAGTTAATTCTTGTAACACTCACCACCAGTCACCTCCCCGTCTGCTGAAGGACACGTTAAGGTACACATCACCTTACCTGCAGGGAGAGAGAACACACGTTAGTTTATCACACATCAACACAGTCAAACATCACCCCTCATCAACGCTCATATCTAACCATTTGGAGGTTTTTCATCAACAAAGACTTGAAAAACCTTCTGGAGCATCATCGATAAGGAGGACAGGAAGACCCAGGTAACATATTAACACACACTGAAGAACACCTCCCTCTGGCGCGAGAGAAGGACGTGAGAGGAGAGGCTCACATATAACAAGTCACTCCAAGAGCATCCTGAGGCAGCCTATGACCCTCATCTCCTACCTGTGTCCCTCATTAACGAGTTATTACCTGAGTATTGTCGTCACTTGAGGAGTCAGGATCATGAGGCAGCTGTAAGTTCAGACTCAGAGGTTATTAAGAGAGCATTACTGTCACCTGAAGGATCACAGGGACTGAGGCCATGTCCCTGGGCCCGGCCACCTCTGATCCACACAGACGGAGGCAGTGAAGCATACGCCATCTGCCTCGTGCTTGAGTGGAGCTTCCGAGGGGACAGGAGACGACTGGAGGCGTCACCAGCCTGGAGTAAAGCTGTATCGCCCATTCCACTACACCTCACCTCTCTCTCTCTCGCCTTCCACCCATCCTCCAGGGCCTGTACTAAGACACCTGTGTACCGCTGTATACAAGGACACCTGTGTACCGCTGTATACAAGGACACCTGTGTACCGCTGTATACAAGGACACCTGTGTACCGCTGTATACAAGGACACCTGTGTACCGCTGTATACAAGGACACCTGTGTACCGCTGTATACAAGGACACCTGTGTACAGTTCTATAGGACAAGGCTCCTCACTCAACAAAACACCTTCTTTCTTTATACATGAATACATAATGTCACCAACGCTCCTTATACAGGCACCAGTATACCTATATGTGTCACTCACTACACAGGGACAACAAGGCGCCACACAGCAGATGCTAACTACAGACAGTGAATCCAGTTTAGAAGCAGTTGGAGCCGCCAGGTAACGAGACTGGCACCTTACCCATCCGTGGCGAGAGTTTTATTAACATTATGGGTGAAAGTGTGACTGTGGGGCGTGTCACCAGTCACGGTGTTCAGCACGACACTTCCACCCCTATTATATTACACACGCAACATCGGGGTGTGTGTGTGTGTGTGTGTGTGTGTGTGTGTGTGTGTGTGTGTGTGTGTGTGTGTGTGTGTGTGTGTGTTTAGTTATCTTAGATTAAAGTGCTTCAACTGTCAGGGTTATTAAGCACTTTCACCGTACACACAGGGAGTTAATAATTATGTTTATGTGTCTAAGTGTGTACTAATCAGTTAGCATTTGCGTCACTACTCGCTTGTGCATGACTGGCTACACGCTCGTGCTGCAGCATGGGAAGAGAAGAGTGACGTCAGCCAGGTGTACAGGTGACCCATATACCCACATATAACTAATTTAAATGTCTCAGACGGTGAAGTGTCTCTCCCTCACGTCACCCGCTGGTCCTGCTAACTGTCTCCCAGGGAAATAATAATCCAGGACCCAAGAAAAATAAAAATTACTTTATAACAGAAAAACAATACTAAGTTGAGGACGGCGGTTAAGTTTCAACCTTTGAGACGATGATGCTAACAGTAACTCCTTAGTGTAGACAGTATACTAAAGAAATTCAATTGAGCTGTGATCACCACGGAGTCAAATGAATGTCCTCATAATCTTAAGTATAAACAATTGCACTAAATATGCCCAAGGAACTAAATCATGGGTTTAGTTTTAATACAACCTATTGTGAGGATACTTAGTAGAGCTAATATACTAATTACTGCTTAATAATGCCACCAAAGTCTTCCTTCCAGAATAACGCCAATAACATAACTGAACACCTCAATAACTCCGGGTACCATTAATTATGATTACAAGTGATCCCAACACCTGATAGTGAGAGATGTACTGTGAGAGACGCCGCCGCACCGTGTTGTGATCTTACCTGATGAGGGAGGCGCAGTCGTTGCCTTGGTGTAATAGACTTAATCTTGAGGGAGGCGCTGCAGCCATGACTCACCTAACAAGACAGTGTCGTGGTTTTTCTCGGGGATAAAGAACGGGAAGACTTACCTATAAGGACGGTGCCTTGGCCGGCGGAGTGGACGGTGAGGCCCTCGTGATGGTCGAGTAGGGTGAGAGAGCGGCGGTCAGCGCGGTGGTGTGACAGGTGAGCACTTTGTGCGCGAGTTTTGTGCGGAAAGTCTTGTGCTGGGGAGGCGGTGCGACCTGTCAACCCTGGTAGGTCCCAGTCCGGCAGGGAGGCCGAGAGAGCTGGGTCTAGTGACATGAGATCTGCTCGGAAGGCCCCGGCGTCCATGGCCAGCACGGCGTCAGGCAGCAGGAAGAAGGAGTCACAGGGCCAGGAGTCGTACTCCCGCTGCTGGTCGTGGTGCAGGTGACGAGGCACGTCCTCCAGCTCCAGGGACGCTCGCCTCTCAGGCACCACGTACAACTCCCGCCGGGGCACCGACACTGAAGCCGACCGCGACATTGCCCCTGTCTCAGGTCGCGCCGGCTGTAGTGTCACTTCACCAAACCCTCAATATAGTCCACTACTGTACACTAGTCTACCACAACACAGTGTATTATAAGGTTACTTCCGGTCTAAACTACGTAACGCACACTCACAGCCTACGACTGTCTTTGTTAGCTTCACACACAACCAACAAGCCATAAAGCCAGGAGCGTGATGCTCCAGTTTAACACATAACACGAGTGTACGGGCGGCCACACAGGTCTGCCTCTTGTGGCGGACACCACTCGCTTAACAATCACTAGTTATCACAAAAACTGTCAAGATCTTTATCTTGGCAGCACTGTACTGTACTGTATTATGTTACAGTGTTCAGCTTGCAACAGGTTCAAGTTTATTATGCCGCTAACTACTACACGTCTTTTACAAATAAACCTGAAAAAAACTCACTCATTAAAATTATAAACATACTGTATACTGAAGACTGATGAACGATAAGAGACTATCTGGCGCGGCAGTGATGACTCAAACTATGAGTAAACGACTTCAGTGTTTTCCAGACCAGTGACCAGCTGTGAGGCGCTCAGTATCAACACAACACCTCCGGCGAACACAACTCTTGTCCACCATCTGTCAGTATCATAACAGATGTTCACTGCCAGTTAACAAACAGTACTGTTAACGTCACCCACAACCCTCACGACCCACAACAACAAAAACACCGAGAATCTATGTCAGGTATGAGTCACTGTCACCAACTCCTCGCCTCAACACACCCCGACATTTCTTCAGGTGTAGACGGTTCATACAATGACTTCCTCGTCACACTTTGTTGGCAACACTGCAGGGAATTTAGGAACCTAATTGAATTCCAACGACTCTTCTGCTGGCCAATTCCTTCGACCATTTTCCCGGCAACACCCGCTGGGAATTTAGGAACACAATTGAATTCCTACGACCATTGTGTTGACCATTTTGCAGGGGTGAAAGGCCGCCGAAAATTTACACTGCTCGGGTAGGTTAGGTTAGGTTAGGTTACGTAACATTACGTTGAGAATTGGTAATTGATTTAATAATTTACGGTTAACATTAATACATTTACAGGTTGTTGACGTTACACTTCAGGCTGGCATAAAATTTAAACGAGTTACTTAGGTGGTGTTGAGGCGTCCATAACACCGACCTTCTATGTCTTAGGTGCCAGCCCCGGGAGACGTGATCTAACAACCTCTTGCCACCCACATCCTAACCAGGCTTTTAGTGGCCTTTTACGACACCCTGGGGGGTAAAGGGGGTAGGAAGGGGAGGGAGGGGGACAGGCAGGGAGGGGGAGGGGGGAGGAGGAGGGGAGGGTAGAGGATAAAATGGAGGTAAAAATCTCTCTCTCTCTCTCTCTCTCTCTCTCTCTCTCTCTCTCTCTCTCTCTCTCTCTCTCTCTCTCTCTCTCTCTCTCGGCGGCCAGACCCTCCTGCAGGCATCATCATCTTTGGTTGGTGTCTTAGAGGCTACTGATACTGTTCACCGTCTCGAGAGGAGGAGATGGTGTTCCTACAATGAGTGAAAAAAACTACATTCCAATAAATACATCGTCATTTTCTTAATTTGTAAATCCGAGTCACTGAAAATACCTAAGGTTTATCCCAAAGTATCTTTCTCAAACAACAAGAGATAATACTGAAGGTCTTATATATATCAGGAACGACCCTGGACAAAGTTAATCAACGACCCGGGTAAACAAGGACCATCGGGGAGGTTTTTGGTCGTCCATACACAGTCGTCGTCTCCACGACAGACAGAAACTAACCTGAACTTTTAACGCTGGCACTGGAATGTTATCACCATGGCGACCAGAATCCGGCAGCCCTCTCTCTCCCTCTCTCACCATCCCCTCCCCCTATCTCCCTCCACCACCACCCCCTCCTTCTCTCCATCTCCCCCCTTCTCTCCTCCTCCACCCCTTCCCTCTCTCCCCCACCCCCTCCCTCCTCTCCGGCCTCGTCACACAGAATCAAGAGGATCGACAACACGCAGGGTGACACATCCCTCTCACTCTCAACTTCACACACCACAATCCTTGCAAAATCACTTCTGAACACACACACACCATATAGTTTGCACGTCCCCAAAAAATAACAATAATCATATCCATACCTCTTGATCCCCCACAAGAACAGTCCGATATATACAGGTAACCCCAATCAACACAACACAACACAACACAACACAACACAACACCATCACCTTAACAATACAGTAATCTCTCCAGTCAGCGGTCTGGTCTACAAGTTACAGCCACACAACACCGGACACAAGACCCAGAACCGGAAATGATGTAATATCCCCTTTGGTCACCCGTGTGTACCAACAAACTCACAAGACAACCACACAACAAACTCTACTACAACCACAACCATTCTCTTGCTTAAACACATTATCACCGGAGTCAAGTTTTCCATTACTTTACTGTCTCGGTCAGCACAGGTAATGAGGAGCAGGTAAGGTCATGGTAGTCAAGTAATGTACTCCTAAATATTAACGATAAAGACGCATTATGCTTTAGTCTCCCCATGACAGTCAACATAGAAAACCTCAAGTGTTGGGGACTTTTCAATATCAACTGATACCCTGTACCTTTACCTGTCTGAGTGTGTCTTAAGTACAGACTGACAGGTGTTTTGGTACAGACTGACAGATGAGTCTTAGGTATAGACTGACAGGTGTGTCTTTGGTACAGACTGACAGGTGTGAGAAGGTGTGCTCTTAGCCCCATATCTGGCAAAAGAACTTAAGGACTAACTAATGATATATAAGATCTTGAACCCCATTAGTGGAGGCTGGTGAGCAAGTGGTCCTCTGAGTCACCAAGAATGTCCACCCCGGCCTATCATGTTGCCTTACCCTCTCAGTGTTTGTGTTGCCATCTGTCAGGAGTTATACACAGTGAGTTCAACAGTGCATATGGCCACCACGTGCAATGTACCAACTCAAACACCACTAATATTACAACACTGAGGTCCGGATGTGGGAGATGTCTCGTGCTAACATATATGGCAACACTAAAGAGCTGTACTGTACCCTCACTCATACTGTACTATGAAGTTAACAAGTACAGTGATATAAAGTTAGCAAGTACAAGGAAATATTGCATCATCAGGGCCCACGAACGGTACGTGTCCTTATCAACACATAGATACATTACTGGTAAGACAAGACCAGCACAACCAGACAGTGTTACACCCTAGACACGTCACTACACAAGGCCCGACACAGATACAAGCACAGCACATGTACAGTCACCCCAAAAAACTATCTGTACTTGGGGTGATCGATGAGTTTCATAATGAACACTGTGACTCCTGTTGTCTCGGTAGGGTTGTCAAAATCCTCCGTCCGTTGTGTCATATTTTTTCAACACAATTTTGTATAGACAGTTCTTTGAGTGACTGTATATAAACTAAGTACTAATTCTGGCCTTCTAAACCTGATTTAAGTAACCATCTTAAAAGCGTATATAAATTATATTAAAATTCGTTTCATGTTATTAATCCATCATTATAAGTTGAAGTAAATTGCCAAAGTAACAGTGAACATACACAGCTCTCGATCAATGTGTATTATTGTCTCACACACACACACACACACACACACACACACACACACACACACACACACACACACACACACACAGTACCCAGTAAGGTGAGGCGGTGACTGGTGAAGGAGGCAGAGCGGCGAGGCGGGGCGAGGCGAGGCGGGGCGGTTACGTTACTATCGTGTTATTATATACACCCGCTCAGGTTACCGCCACCAGGTGTAGGGTGACACAACACTCCTGTAGTACACTATGATGACTGTCACGAACACACCCGGATATATGATAGAGAGAGTCAGTCAGTTAGAAAGAAAGTGATTGAGTGTGAGTGAGTGAGAGAGTGTGTGTGTGTGTGTGTGTGTGTGTGTGTGTGTGTGTGTGTGTGTGTGTGTGTGTGGAGCTAAGTGATTGAGGTGGAGTGTGTGAGTGAGTGTGTGTGTGTGAGCTAAGTGATTCTCATAAGGTAACATTATGATAAACAAGTCATTATTACCCCACACGCCTCCTGATAGTGAAGTGTTAAGTGAGAGGCTGGGACACCACACCGAGGAAGGCGCTGCAGTATCGCCGGGACTCTCACCACAGCCTCCTAATACTGTATTGGCAAATGACTCTCTGACCCTAAGTATGAATGTACACCAGTTGTATGTAATGTATGTACTGTATGTATGTATGTATGTATGTATGTATGTATGTATGTATGTATGTATGTATGTATGTATGTATGTATTATTATACTGAAACTACTATCAAACATAATAATGTCTAGTAAGAAACAAAAAAATAATCAATAAAATTCACATCTAATAGTGGATCTCTCTCTCTCTCTCTCTCTCTCTCTCTCTCTCTCTCTCTCTCTCTCTCTCTCTCTCTCACATCAAGGCACGTTCTCTATGAAACCATCACCTCGCAAACATTTACTGAAACCTGTAATTTAGATCGAAGTCAGTCAGTCGGTCGGTCAGTTCAGTCAATCAGTCAGTCAGTCCAATCAGTTCGGTTACTCAGCCAGTTAGTCAATCAATCAGCCAGTCCAGTCACTCACTTAGCCAGTCAGTCAATCAGTGAGTGAGTCAGTCCCACGCCAGCACTCAAGAGTTATCGCACCTGGTGAGTGGTCGTATCGTTTACCTGTGCAGGACAAAACAATTAATTGGTACAGTACTTTTATCTAGGACGGTATCGACACTGTTGAGATAACCAGTGTTTTCAACGTTAGCACAATACTCTCTCTCTCTCTCTCTCTCTCTCTCTCTCTCTCTCTCTCTCTCTCTCTCTCTCTCTGGCTGCTACATCTCACCGCCCCGCTTCTCTCCCCACACCGTCACTGTACCTCCACCAGCCAGCCACCGCAGCCGTCCTTCTCTGATCAAGTTACACCCGCCAGCCAATCACGCCTCTACAGTAGACACAAACAGACAGACACGAGAGAAATACAGACAGACACGAAAGAAAGACAGATAGACATGAAAAAGACAGACAGACACGAGAGAAAGACAGACAGAGACGAGAGAAAGACAGACAGACACGAGAGAAAGACAGACAGACACGAGAGAAAGACAGACAGACAAGACACATACGAAAGGAATCACCCTCCAGGTATAGACAGGTAAGAGGCTCCAGGTAAGATCATATCTTTTTGTCTGGCCTTTGAAAAATGCGCCTCACTTTAGCTTAGCTTAGCTTAGCTTCCTCTTGTGCCGCCCCCTCAAAGCAGGCAGCACACCCCCGCCTCCTTTCAAGAACCACAGCAAGCATATCACCCTCTTCAACAACCAAAGCAAGCGCGCCCGTGATTGCTTTCAGCCCACAGTGATCCATCGATGCTTGACTGATAACGCCG